ATATTTATATTATTTAATAGAAAATAGAATAATATTTTTATTTTAGGTTTATATTCGATAAATCCATTTCTAGTTTGATCTTTCTGATTTTTTAAAAGCATCTATAGTGGTCAATATTGATAAATTCATTTTAATTGATTTTCTGATATTTTTGTAGCGATTAAAATAGGAGGATGTGCGGTCATATTCCAAAGAATATTTGAAGAGATAAAGAGAGGTTATAAAATATAACCATTTTAATTATAGATATCATATAAATTGAGAATAATTTATCGAGTTCAATTTTATCAATCTCATCAGATATATAATAATTCGCATTATTTATTTTTTATACGTAATTCAATTTACGTTTATAAGCAAATTTTTATTCTTATATTCTCGCGGCAGTCACGCGTATTATTCGCGAACAAAAACAAAATGGACACAAAGAAATAACTCTTGTAATCTGACATGTAATCTGAACATTGTAAATCAAAGTGCTATTATTACATATTTAGCCAACGTAGTAATGTTAAAGCACGTGAATCGTAGCGCGAAATATAGTATCAAGTCCATTGATATTATCCATGTGCACGCAAATACAACAAGTCTCAAAGAAACCTTACACGTCGCATACACCTTATTTCTCTGGATAAATCAATGCAGATTTAGGATATACCCTTTTTTTCGCATAACAATAAAAAAGCTACAATATATAACCCATCTTTCTATCCTAACATTTAAATAACTCGTATTTAATATCAATTCACAACAATAATCTCAATTTTAAAATTATTTGAAGCGTCAATATTGTAAAACTATCACGTAGCGAATCAATTTTTCATCGAGAATTTATTTAAAAAAGCCTTTATCGATTATTTTACAAATTTTTTTTCATCGAACAAGATTAAAGAATACATTCTGTTTGAATACAAAGTCAATAAGATCCCACAGTTAAATATACTTGATCGATGCAATAACTTTATCTATTGTCACGCTTCTGTATGATGTATGCAATTATACCTGTCGGCTAATTTTAATTATTAATGCATATTTCTCGATTGTATATTGGATACAATAATTTCATGTGATTTTACGACGTACAAGCTTCATTTTTTAAACGATATTTGAACGAAGAAAGTATAAGCGTTGCGATAGTCATTCGTTCCAGCAAATATTCGAATAATTTAATCCCGGATCAGAATATATTTCACACTGTGGATATCGCAAAACGTTTTAATTCCTAAACAATAATAATAATAATAATAATAAATAATATTTTACAATTGGACAAAATACAGTCTTTTATAGTTTGATGAGATTGACACAAATTATCTCCGAACCGAACTATCGATGCGTTAATGCTCAACTTAAACAACTTCCTCCAGCTTTAAACGATAATTAATACCTGCCAATATTGGTAATAACCTGAACCTCGGTCGAGTTGGCAATAAGGGATCGAGGGGGAACAGGAATTGGAACGTGGCCATGTCTCAAGGCGAGAGAGCTCGACGACCATCATCGATTATCTCTCCCGAATTTTCTCGACTAAAAAAAAAAAAAAAAAAGGGAAAAAATCTGGAAGGGGAATTTTTCAATTTTTTTTTTGAACGTAATTTTACGCTCTATGCTCGAATCGTATGTCGCAAATCGCAGAGCTTGCGTTGACGTCAATTCAATTGATCAATTGAATTGACGTCAACGCAAGCTCTGCGATTTGCGACATACGATTCGAGCATAGAGCGTAAAATTACGTAAAAAAAAAAAAAAAAAGGATAGAATCTCGAAGAGGAAATTTTTCAATTTTTTTTTTGTACGTAATTTTACGCTCTATTCTCGAATCGTATGTCGCAAATCGCAGAGCTTGCGTTGACGTCAATTCAATTGATCAATTGATTTATGGATCGATAACGAGTTATGAAATTTATGAAAATTATCTCGACGAGAAAAATGTGAGCGAAATATAAGCTCATATTTTTATGCTCATCAATGATTCTTATTATTTGCTGCAATTATAAATAAAATATCAATTCGAAAAATAAACTCAACTTATAGGATTATATCGATAAACGATATAACAATGATTTTTTTTTTTTCATATCAATAACTGAAAATTTTGAGTAAATTTTTATTGCGACGATATTTTTTGTTCCACGAGTTCTCCCTTCTTTTCCAATCTCCGCTTTCTCTATCTCGAGATCACTTCGCGCAATCTTACCTCCTGGCACCATACACATTCTCAGGATTGCTCTTCAGCTTTTCCTACACTCTTTCAACAAACACTCGAATCTCTATCGCGAGAATTCGTTGCTCATCGATGACATAATATAGCGAACATTCGATTTCATAGATCGAAGCTCGCGAAACGGAAGAAGAATCGGCCTCGAGCGTAATGGAATTTACGTTTTGCTTTAGCGAAACACGAGTGACGGCCAATTTGTTCAACGACTGTGCTTGACTGTGATCGAGTCGTGTCCGCGACCAATCGTGAGAATTTTACGCACGGAATTCGGTTAGTGTGCGCCACCGTTCCGAATCAGAATGCCTCGTTTCCGATTCGCAGACACGTCCACCATTTTACCACCATGATTCCGTGAAGCTAACTTAGACTGTCGAGGATGGAGAGGAAATCGAGCTTTTGATGTATCTGGTCTCTTGGTATACAACAAGAGATCGTGATGTGAAAGTTAATTTTTTTTTATCGATTGATGCATAATTGTAAATTGTTTGGCGCTGATCTTTAAACGATTAAAGATGTTAAAGGTATTCAATGATATCTAATGATATTATAATTTTAAAACAATTTTTAAATTATCGATAGATAAAGCTTAGTACAGTATGTATTTAATTTTGATAAATTTTTTTTGAATAAAAATATAAAATATGTCTGCTGTATGGGAATAATCTTATTATCGAAATTTTTTCTTTACCATATTGAAATATTTTTCTCGTGTATTATCTATCGAGCATTTAAATTGAAAAGTTTAATATTGTTATTATCGTTTTATTAGTGTCTTTGTTCGAATGCTAAATTTTAATTATATTTACGATGATATATTACGATAGATTAATTATGATGCAAGATACGCGCCAGTAAATGTCCAAACTAAGTTCATTTTAAACAGAATAATAAAACGATTAAGGGAATCATTAACAGAAACAGATTTGAAAGTGCACGATCATGTTCCAGGAAACAGATGGTAAGCGGAAGGCGACGTCAACAAGTGTCTTGGCACGTTTGAGCGGTTTTTCAAAGCGGCCCTTCTTCCTGGCGAAGCTCGTAAAGACGCTTGGCACTCTAGCGACCAGGAAATTGTGCCGCGTGTCTGCCAAAAGTTTCATTTCACCGAGGACCGAGCATTCGAGCTCGTCCTTCAAATAAATCACGGAAAGATTTCTTGCTTTATAGCACAGTCTTTGTTACTATAGCTTGCTTCATAATCGTGCTATAAAATGCATAAAAATGTTGGTTTTCCTCCAAGAAGGAAGTCAATCGACTTTCTGTTTCTTTAAACGGGAATATAGGAATATTTAAATGTTTAACATAAGAAATATGATTTGTAATTATAAAAATGTTTAATGTTAATGATATAATGTACATACAAGATATATAAAGCAAAATTTGAAAATGTATATAAAAGAAACGTTTTAAAAATATATAGCAAGCAGCTATATATTTTTAAAACTTATAAATACAATAATAATTATTAAATTTTAAAAGATTCAGTAAAATATTAAAATTTCGATAAAAGAAAAAGCAGAGTCACGCGTGATAATTCAAAATATGTAAGTAAAATGTCACGAATGAAAAGAAGTTAAGTAACTTGAAAATCCTTGTTCATCCCTTCTTATTATTGTTCCTTGTTTTCAAGGGACTTTCATAATATTATTCTCGGTTTTATTGTGAGAATGAAAGTTTGATGTTTATGGCAAGTGTTAGGGATGTTAAATAAGGATGTTTGAACTAAATGGTTGAAGTTAGGATGAATCAAGCTTTCGCAGCTAAAGGAAACCAAAATAAAATATTACACCATTGCACAATATAAATACAATTTTTCTGTTCTATATATTAATTTTATAAAATATTACGATATCTGCTTAATTTTTTTCTTAATTTAATTAATTAATTAATTAAGTTTTAATTAATTTATCAATACCAATATAATATTCTTTTTAATTATTCTAACTTTCGAATTATTTGAAGTTGAATGAATTTCTTTTTTTTTTTTCTTACAACTTTTACACGAAAAGAGAAAAAAAAAAAAAAAGAAATTCATTCAACTTCAAATAAAACGAAAGTTAGAATAATAAAAAAGAATATATTATTGGTATTGATAAATTAATTAAAACTTAATTAATTAATTAAGTTTTAATTAATTTATCAATGCCGAGATAAGATTCTTGTTAATTATTCTAACTTGCGAATTATTTAAAGTTGAATTAATTTCTTTTTTTTTTTTCCTACAACTTTTACACGCAAAGAGAATACAAATAGAAAATAAATAGAACAGATTTCGACGTGGGAACGTAACCTAGCCTCGTTGATCCTCGAGAACGAGGGCATTCGGTTATACGGAGCATGGATGATAATATTGCACCATGAAAACTGTTCGAGATCGAACGAAGACCATCGTTGAAAGACTTAGTCTAGTGCTGCCTTACCTTGGTAATGGCACGGAAGCGAGCATGGCTTCCGTTCTGAACGACGAAGTCTTAACTGCAGATTAAACCAGGTACAACCATTGTGAAAGGTCCACTCGAGGACCCGTGTCGCGAACTATATATCTAGATACGTTTGTAGGCCGTTTCACGTCCTCTATTTTCCCCTCTCTCCGCATGGATTCTTATCTTCTTTCTTTTCTTCCTCTTCTTCTTCCTCTTCTTCTTTTTCTTTTTCGTTGTCGTGGCTTTATATATTCCTTTCTCTCCCTCTATTTCTTTTAAATTTATATTCTTAACCTGGAGGTAGAATTCGAAGAATGATTAAAGAGAAAAACGGTATCTCGCTCGTGTCTTGTTAAAGAACAGTATACATATATATATATATGTATATATAATTGAACTAGGCGAAATCGTAAATCCGAAAGTGATACGAATAATATAGAATATTAATTGACAGCATTCGTTTTGGTCGTTCCTCGTATCCTCCCTCTTATTCGTCCACGTCTTCTCGCCTCTCTTCTTAATAATATTCTTATCAGACGTGTGAATTTCTCGAACGAGCAGATAAAACAATAGATCTGAATGATATTTTTTTTCTCTCTCTCTCTTTTTCTCTCTCTCTCTTTTTCTCTCTCCAAAGACATATATTTTAGTAGATTTTCTTCTTAATAATTAATCACATCATATATTAATATATTTCTATGTATGTACATATATATATATTTATTTTATTTTATTTTTAATCTCGCTATATTGATTTTATCGACAAGCCTCTCTAAGCGTTCTCTAATTATCATCTATTCCGTCGTTTCTTTCAATCGATATGTCAACCTGTTCCCATTCGTTCGGTTTAATTATTCATCCTTGTTTCTTTTCCTCTCTCTTTCTCTTTCTCTCTCAGCCCGCCTCTTGATTCGCTCTTCGCCAATTTAAGACACTTCTTCTTCGTCGTATATGTCACCTCGTTCACCAAGTCGACCTCTGAAAACGGAATTTCACGCGGTGATGCACGACTACCCGCCACGGGAAGTGCGCAAGAAACGACAAACACGTGTGTCGCGATCGTGCGATATCCTTCCTTCTCCTTCCATCGCTCAGCTTTTTGTCCCCTCCCCCCCTGATACACGCTGCTCGTAGAAAATTTATACGCTGCTCTTGGAACCGCTTGCTTGAGATTAAAGGTTTGTTCGACAAAAAAAAAATTCGAGGATTATTCATTCGTCAGCGCAACCAAACCTAGTTTTTCTAATCCTAACCCCGTTTAGTCTAATTTAATTTGATTTTAACGAAGTCTATCCTGAGATTAACTCGACGACAATTTTTTCCAATTTTTCCTAGTAATAGAAAAATCAATTCCTTCGATCAAATCTATCTTGACGAAGTTTAATCTAATTTAAGTTAAATATAATACAAAAACGTGGTTCTTCAATTTCGTTTAATTTTAAATTCGTAATAAGTCATGTTATATGGTCTATTTAAATAATTTTCGAAATACTTCGTAATTATTAATATTTTACTTTAATACTGTATTGCACAATATTATACAGCATTGTATAATACTTTTACTGATACAAATATTGCATATACACAAATATTTGAGTCAGATATAAATATATTTTCAATTCATTCACAATCCTATTTTTGCGAAATGTAAAGCATCTTTAATTTATTACTCTTAAAAAAAATTTTTTGAATACTATTTTATCTGATCAATTTTAGCGACACTGCATTAAGTTTTCAAATTATTCTAATTTAATATTTCTAAAAATATAAAAAATAACGACGAGTCGGTTTCAGACATTCCTTTTTTTTTTTTTTTTTTTTTTTTTTTTTTTTTTTTTAAAAGTATCCTCCTCTCTGATCTTCATTCGAGACGAACTTTCTTTTGTTCTCGAGTCAAGTGCGCCATTAATTTAAAAAATATTGAATTACTTCGCGCGTTGATTCCAAGCTCCACGTATCCTATCGATCCATTCCATAAGAGGTTATCGCTTTAAACGAGGGCATGAAAGTTCGCAGCTCGATACTTGTTTTCGAATGCGAAGATGTCTCTCTCTTTATCGAAAATATCAGCTGGACATTGAAAATAATTTAAACAACTTTGAAAACTCGTCCAATGTATTCACTCTTCTATGATATCCACTGGATAATAATCTCGAATCCAATTTAAAATATATGCATGTATCTATTGTTGGATGTAATTGTGATGATGGAAAGTTTTTTTTTTTTTTTTAAGAAAAAAATTAAGGTCACTTTGACGTGTAATTGTAGGGAAATTGACGCGAACTATCCCCTTTAAAAACGTGAAACCGTGTTCCACAGACAGGAAGCGAAACACCAGGAATATATTTTACGCTTCGTGGAGATTATGGGGTGCGATAATAACTTTTGCATGTGATCGTTTATCGTTGAAGTGGTGTTATACAAAGTTGTGCTGTTTATCGATTTTCTTCGCAGATAACATTTTGTCATTTATGTTCTCTCTCTCTCTCTCTCTCTCTCTCTCTCTCTCTCTCTCTCTCTCT